CCACTGTCTCCCTTCCGTTCTGTGGACAGAACATTATACATGCTGTATTTTTATAGATGATTTAATGCAAAAGTAGCATGAGTCTTGTTCTGGAGCTCAACTTTTTCCTGTGCATAATTAAGTGTATTTAAAATGATTTAAAATAAATTATGAGTCATACCTCAGCCTTTCTTTACCAGTGAAATGAAATGTGATGTGTCAAACTTGAGTTAAATCCATACTCTCCACGGATGCGCTTTTGACTTGCTTGTGAGGCAGGCAGTAGGCAGCGACTCGGAGGCAGCCTCCTGCACCATACTGACATTCAACAATGCGGAGGTCAGATAGGGAGCTGATGGCAATATGTTCATCTAAAACTGCAATAAAGCTGTCCTGCCACAGCTGCCATTTCCCTGTCCTTTGGGCTAGGAATGGGGCATTAAGACCCTCCATTGTCTGCTACAAATAGGCCAGGCTTCCATGAAGGGCTGTTTTAAAGAAAGAATATAATCCTAGATTGTAGGTTTTAAAGACAAAAATCCACATACCAGTTAAGGGATTTATTTGACAAAAACAGGAATAAAAGATAACAGCTGAGTTTTCTTCCACATGAAAATTACCAAAAAACTGCACAGAGTGTCACCATAAGCATCAGAAAGTAAGCTTGGCTTTCAGTTTGCTTTTCTGGCGCTTTGCCAGAGATGGTTTTCTTGAGGATAATCGGTAGCAGTTTTAAGTATCAGATTTTGGGAAAATGGATTCCCTCTACCTCCCATTCATGCTTATTTACTTATTGCCAAGGATGGTAGATACAAGTCACAGAGGAGTATAATGTCACTGTGACACCATATCTGGCCTACTCCATTTCCCACCAGGGACACAACCTCAGAACAGCCGCAACCCACCTGCACACATGCCCTTTCCCAGGGTCACTCAGTCCACACATTTGGCAATGAAACTATCAGTAAAGCAAGGAAAGGTGGGGCTTCTTTGGGACTCTGCCCTGGAAATCGCTTCTTCATGGGAAATATCCGTAAGACAAACGCTTACCAACAAAACCTCGACTATCTACTTCTAATAGCAGACGTCAAAGCAGGGGCTACATGAATCCTTTGGAAACAAGGAAAAGTGTAAGAAATCCAAAAGAGGGGTCACAGTCACCTTGACTGTTATGGGGCCTAGGTGTTTTAACTCCACCTTACCTACCATGTGTCAATCAAAAGAGAAAACAAAACAATTCTAGGAAAAATTAAGAGAATTAAAAATCAAGAATTATTTCACAAGGCAGGTCCTATCTCTGTTGAGGATAACTCAGTTTAAACTTTATATTGGCTTTCCATCCGTGGCCCAAACACTCCCACAGAGCAGGCTGCCAGAGGCCATTAGCACACAACCCTCACAAAAGGAGAAGCAGCATTTCTTCTGGTCCACCAGTTGGCGTCCGCACTCAGTCGCACCACTCAGCATTTGGTAAGCTTTTTTCCCCTGAGCCCTGGTCACTTCCCTTCAGGAGACCATCTGGAGAACAACCTGAAGGTATCGAGATTTACAAAAGTGAAGCTGTCTGATGCCGGGTGGGGTGCGCAAGTGCGGACGAGGAGAGTGTGCCTCGGCACTGTCAGCGTGTGCTGCATTTTATTTGGGAAATGAGACAAAAATCTCTCCACGATCAGCCACTCCATGTGACATCCCAACCCACACTCTGCTACTGACATTTTATCTCCCACTGAACAGCCCGGCTGGTGTAACATTTTCAGGATTCTTAATTTATGTCTTGCAGGATCTAAAATCAGAAGGCAGGGGTTTTAAGAAAATAAGCAGTGTTGACAGCCCCTTTATACTTCAAGAAGCCGCTACACCCGATGCTGCTAGACACTGGGAGCATTCTCTCCTACTTCTCCCAAAAGATGTCCAGAAGACAGGAGAGAGATGGGAGCTATCCTAAACCATTCACTTGTCTTATTCCATATACACCTAGGAAAATCCATTCCTTATACCTTCCTCTTCCTCTTCTTGAAGAAAAACAAATTCCAACGTTTGATTAGTTTAAAGTGAATTAGAGCAGTGGTTCTCAACCTGTGGGCCCATGGGTTGCCTGGGGGTCACATATCAGATAGCCTGCATATCAGACACCCTGCATATCAGATACCCTGCATATCAGATACCCTGCATATCAGATACCCTGCATATCAGATGATACCCTGCAT